TTCTGTGGGACCAGATTCCCAACGATGTTGTGCGAAACTTCGCGAAAATGGTGTCAGAATGCAACAGCGCACAAAATGAGCAGCATTGCAACGAATTAAGGACATGAACGAAGACACGAATCAAGAATATAAAAAAAAAAGTCACGATGACGAATTCACGGCTTAGCCTCGAACGGCTTTGAATTACTTGTTCTCATTTTTTCCCCTATTTCCTTTCTCTCTTATCACTTGTTTCACTCGAAGTCGGCTTTTTTCCTTCCTCTTTACGGGGGATGAGCTGCCATATACTCGATGTCGCTCTCGCGCACTCCAGACATGTTGCTCACGCACCCAAATGGATGGTTTCTTGTCTTCCTTTTGTCGTTTCTTGTGGATTTCCTATTTCGGGGTCTTTTCTGATTTCCTATGGATCGAGCAAGCGAGCGTGCATTGATTTGTTTTTTTGAGTGATTTTTCCCAGCGTGGCATCGGTTTTCCTATCTCGAAATTGGATACCTCTCTTTTGGTAACGGCGAATGGGATGTGGTCGATGTGGATGGAAGTGAGTCAGATTGGGTGTCGACACTAGCGGCGAAACAGCAGCCAGCAGGAAGGAGCAGGCAGACTCTATGAGGGCCCAGTCCATGGAGAGTCTTGATACTATCACGGTGCATGGAAAGGATTTGGAGGCTAAGGGTATGGATGGATGGAGATGGAAATTGGCATACGTCTGAAGACGGCAATGACTGAAATGGTCAATGATGACGACGAAACGAGCTCGTCGATGATCCATTTACTTGTTTGTTTGGAATTATTTCGATTCTTTAAAGCAGCCTTCGGTTCCAGGTGATCCGGTCAGTTGTACGATATTTTATGGCATGGATAATTATATGGAATTAGTTTTCACGCAGCGAGCATTAAACAAGCAATATCCATCTAAACACCTACATTCAATACTCTGCGACGATCATGATGCCGATACTACCTTGTGAACATTCATGTCATATCATCGGTACTGGCTGATCAAGATTCGTTGCAGATGCATCTGCTTGGGCAGACTTTATACACTTTTGAACCGGCTAGGTCCCAAAAGAGGAATGAGAGCGGGTGTTAGTTTTGAAACAAGAATTGAGAGGAGATTCCAGGTGAGACAAAATGCTAGACCGGTCGATAATAGGCTGAAAGATGCAACTGGTGGGTGTCAGTGTGCGACGGTGGTTTGACTGAGACAATGTCTTGTCAATGCGCGGCGCTGGGACGGCACGGGATGCGCACATCAACTAGACGAGCAAGTATGTATTGACTAGTTGACTTGATTTGACGCCTAATAAAAACAATACTCTACCTAGATGCTAGTGGTAGGCCTCATGTTTATGCTGATTGTCTAGACACATTTACATCAGATTATCGGTGGTTATCGTACAGCCAGGTTCTGCGCCACTATAGCTTGCTCTTTTTATGGGGAATCCTTGAAGTTGCATCTCGTCTGGGACTTTCTGGGTGTGGCTACGTTGCATGGCATTGCATTGCATTGCAGGGCGTTGAGCTGAAGAGATATATGTGGCTGAGAGTCTCAATTGTATTCTTTGTCTCTCGACGCAAGGAACAAAAAGGACTGAATCACAAAAGTCTCACCGGCCATGCATGAGATAAGAATACGATATTCGCAGAGTCTAAGACGAATGAGCTAAGTTCAAAGGCTGAATTTCAACCACTAATTACAGGCAGCAATATAGCATTTTCAAAATATTCAGCATCGCTAACCTCCCTTCCCAGTATGATATTTCGGTCTTAAGATAGATGTTCACTTTGATCCTATATCAGGCCCGCTATAGCGATAAACAGTGACAAGCTCCGTGCGCCCTCGTCATGTCGGCCTCGACCGGACCGCGTTAATAGGTCGCTTGACTAAGACGTCCAATAGAATATAATGTCTTTTAGGCTATCACCGTTGGGCATCAATGATAAACGCCGTGTGGGGTTGGTAGGGTTTTGTCACGAGGTCCAAAGTGAGAGAAGAGGGAACATCGATCGCGAGATGGCGATGGTGGATGATATACGGCTGCTACACCAATAGTTTTAAATCTAACGATATGTAGAAAACCACTGAAACAATGTGTTGCGATATGTACAACCAGACACAAGGTGAATACGCCCTGTACTCTATCTATATACTTAAGAATAGCAAGATATCGAAACACAAGCACACACAAACCTCCGCAGTCTTATCCACCCAACCGCATCTAGCGAGTAAGTGTATATGTTGATGTGGGCAAGATACCCCTAAAACAGTTATAACAATACGGTATAAAAAACGGCTGGTCGCCCAAAGGGCGACTCAAAATCATTTAGTCGGCTGGCCCATCAACGTCTCATCCTCCTCCTCCTCTTGATTGACTTATACAGTATATATCGCGGAGATGCACCTCTCGGCCACAGTGGCACATGGCTACGGTTGCACTACTTGCGGTTGCCCTCGCCCGGAGGGTTGTACTTTTCCTTCCAGATCCTAATGCAAGATGTTTGAATCAGCATTTGTCCATCAAATCGTATGATGCATGATTGGAGATCAAGACCAATCGATAGACCGCCCTCCATGACACCAGGTTCTGTGGCTCCTGAGCAAGGCGGAGTCGACGAGAGCCTATCGAACTGCAGACCGCCACAATAACACTGGAAGACGAGGTGCAGACGGAGGTTCTGGCCGGTGGACTTACCAAGAGTTCCCTAGTGTCTTGTTACCGGCCTTCTCAGCCAGTCGATAATACCGGGCTGCCGCGAACTGTACAGGATATCAGTCTCAAGTGATGAGTCGAGCATTGTTGTGTGGAGAGAAACGGGTAGAGTCGATTCAAGATTCTGACAGGATGAGTTGAGAGCAGCCGATATGCGGTAAGTTGGGCAGCCAGTGTCTCGACGAATCAAGTAACCTTGGCTTACCGAGAACATCTGCAGTTATGGCTTCGATACAACTCATGTACAGAGTGCTCTTGAACCGACCAGACAGGCAATCATGAGTAGATGGCTTATGGTGCAACATACCTTGTCTTTCTTACACCCGAAACCTTCAACGTAGCACCAGGCAATCTCGTTCATGGCATCTATCAAATAGTGTTAGACCTTGTTCTGCTTTTGTAGTATGTACGACTTACCAGTATCTCCTAGATTCGCCGCAGTCTCATAATACTGGGTTTAAGTCAATGGTCAGCAATTGATGTCACTCCCACGAGAGTCAGAGTGAACGTACCTGCTTGGCGGCGTAGGCGTCCTTTTCGATGCCCCAACCATGTCTGAAGCAGTTCGCCAGCTCGAAAATGGCGAGAACAAGCTCTCCTTTTGCAGCTCCACCCTTCTTCATACCCGCCTGGAGAGCCATCTGCTCAATTGATGCAGAATTGGATGCTGCAGCTGAAAGATACTTGACGGCACCCTCTGGATCTGGTGCGCAACCCCATCCGTGTCTGTACAACACGAGTCATGTTAGCATTCGAGACATGTAAATCAATTCTTTTCAATAGATCACAAGCATGATACAAAGTTCGGGTGTCGCTGCACATCAATGTCAAGGTTTGAAGTTTCAACTGTCTCCAGAGCCTCAAACCCTAACAAGCTTTACCTGAAGTGCTCTGCCCGAGACATTGATATTCCATCCAGTGCTCTTACCTTAAAGCAAGGCCGTACAACACTTGGCTTAGCGGGTTATTGGCGCCTTGAGGGTCAGCCAGCCGCCCAAACATGCGCGTCGACAACTCCAAATTCCCTTCTTCGTGCAGACGAATGGCTTCTTGAATATCCTGATCAATTTGTTGCGACGAAACCGCACGCCCTTCGCCTCTGCCGCTGTCCGAGGGTGTGCCTGGCCTGCTGTTGCTCCTGGCGCGGTTATTCTGGCCCGCAAGCATAGTTGCGCGCTTCTCCCACTGCGCTTCATCTGATGTGACAATGTCGGGCAGGTTCTCGGGGACGTTCTCGGACGAGGGGGGTGCCCGGCTCAGGTGCAGTCGCTGAGACAGACGACGAGCGCCGCTCTCTTTCTTTGTCTGGCTCGACTCCGAAGCAGAGCGTGATCGACCGGAGCGGAAGACATCGAGGGACCGTCGGGGCTTGTCTTTTTCTTTGGGTCCTTGGACTGCGAGATGTAGATTGTCGGCGGACTTCATAGACGGCGGGTAGATGCGCTCTTGGGTTGAGGTGTCGGAGCGGATGATGGTAAACTCGGGGGCTGCCAGACGATCGATAGTGCCTTGCTCAGGCGGTTGGCCTGTAGAGAGGTCATCCTTTTTCTTGAGAATATCGCGTATGCCCATTTTCGCTAATTGTAATGGTAATCTGTACTGTAGAGAGGTTTGCAGGGTTGCAATCTGTATATTGATGACAGGAGACGAAAGGGTCCGTTCACAAGGATCTACACAGCGATTCGCGAAGCAAATAACCTAATCGAGGACGAGACGGGATCAACGAAATAAGCTAAAGATCAGGATAATATCGACAAGGAAGGATGACATGTTTATTAACATACTGGCGCTTCACTCATTCCTTCAAAGCACCACAAACAGGCACAGGCACATGCATGGATTGAGGCTGAGTCGAGGCTTTGCGCTTTCTTGTACCAGAACTGTCATTGAATACGATATTACTGGTGTTCTCAGACCTCTGGTCAAAGCGCCACCAAAGATCAGCAACCCCTGGTTCGTTTCAAAGAGTAGAGCTATCATAGTGTTCATACGTCAGGACAAAGATGGTTTCTGACTCGGGGATGTCATAGCATTCCGGTCTTCATCTGATACTGGAACCGTAAGCCAGTATCTCAAGCTTTCTCAGAATGCGGTACCTATGAACCTGTTTGCTCCCCTGTCGAGTAAGCAAAGTCAAAAGTTGAAGGCACCTGTTACTAATATTAGGTTGATTGAAGCTGGCAATGCCCCTCATCCTTGATGACATGCCACTTTGTTTTGCCCGCTAATAAGGTAGGTAGTCATAGCATACATAAATCGTACCCGTTGAAGCCAGGACATCCGGTGTCTTCAACCCATTGTAATCATCTAAGTAATCACCGATACTGGCTCATAGTCTTACACAGTACAATAATCTTTCATTCAATACATATCTATCTTCGGTGTTCTTTTTGGACACAGAGGTGTTCGTCTTTTTAACCGCATACTTTTGCTCATCTTTTGTTTCTTTTCCTTTGTTTCGTGATATGCTGGTGGCATATCATGGCCAAAACCCTTATGGACGCCGATAAGTCACGGGTATCTTGAAATCATTTACCAGCATCCCATCCCATTCTCCAGACGCCAGGAAAGAGCAACGTGTTGGAATCCGTGTCCTGCTTCTACTTGCTAGAAACAGACACGATGGAATGATCTAGATCGATAGGAAGTCCTTCTGTTCTTCAAAATCGGAAAGGTCCGAGTCTGCATCAATAAACTCGGCAACTTCATCTGAATCAACATCGTCGGAATCAGCAGCTTCGTCATCACTTGAAATGTCTCCAAGAGGCTCGCCGGCGGCATTGGTTCTGTTTCGAAGGACGCTTGCCCTCTCACGGTGTGGGAGCTTACATCCCTTGACCTTACAGCGGCCGGTATTGCTAAAGTCAGGGCACTCAAAAACGTGGCGGTCAGTACACTCTGCCCCCATCTCGCAGTACCCGTTGAAACCAAAATTGCGACAAACTGGGGCAGCTGGGGAGGCTTTGGAGTGAGTATAAGGACAGTCAGCCTTGGCACAATGGCCTTTGGCAAAATGCAAACAGTTGGGGGTGCGCTCAGGAGTCATGTCATGGGAGAGGTCACAAGACTCGCCGTTGACACATTGCCCATCTTTCAATATATCTTTACAGAGGGCCACTTTGTTCGGATCGTGAATGTAACGGCACCGAGGGCCTTTGGTGCATGAACCTATTTGTAGAGTACTTGTCAGTTTCGCCCCTTGGCCACTGGGCCGGTCTAGGTAAAGGAGATGTGTAGCACTCCAGCCTTGGGAAGAGAAATTACCAGTCGTTGAGAAGATTTTACAGAGTTGGTTAATCTTCTTGACCGCGCCGGTTCGCCTTAATCCTGTCAGCGACTTCGTCACACTGAAAGGAATTACATACCGCTGGTCGTTAACGAATCTATTGGCTACGAGGTTTCCTGTCTTTGTTCGATAAAACTTGACCCCAGCAACGGTAGCGAATTTCGGAGTTCGAGAGAATGAGTTGGGGGCATCTGCAGCGGGTAAGGCACAAGCGTCAGGGTCGCACAGGGGTTTGCACGCACCAGGAATCTTGACAAGCTTCTTGCCACCGTCCATAACGCGGAATTGGACACCTTCGATGGTGAGCACGTTGCGGTCTGCGGGGTTAGTCTGCGCGCTTGAAGCGGTAGCTTGATGCTTCAGGAACTCGTTGAACTGAGCCTTCTCGCGCTGCCGGCGTCCGCTGATCTTTCTCTGGCGTGTTTGTTCAATCGCCTTGGCTCGGTTTTGGGTTTCTTTCTCGTAAACGTTGGCGTTGATAAGTTGACGGTGGCGATCGGTTCTGGATACCCAGCCAGGAGGTGTATCAGCACCACTACTGGCAGACCGAGAAGCAGTCGAGTTGTCGCCAGTCAAGTGAAGGGTTCGGTGGTGATGCGCTGCAGGGTGACGGCCGATTCTATTATGACGAGCTGGGTACGGTGAACTCGCATGTCGATAGGAGTTTTCTGGACATATCAGTAATGATCTGCCTTGGAGACAAGTTTTCACATACGACGATGATGAGCAGGATGATGGCTTGGAGATCCTCGAGAGCCCGCTTGCTGATTCTTGTGTCGGTTGATCTGGCCTGGGATTTATCAGCAAATTGAATTTATTATTATGCGCGAGGGGCACAAACCCGCGACTTGACTGATACGAGCCAGAAGTTCTCGTTCTTCTTCTGACATGTTGTTAATTAACTTTGATGCAATCGAGATTCACTGTTCCTTGATAAAGGGCTCAGTGGTTTTAGGGATAAAATTAGGAGGTGGTGTTTAGGATTAATGCAGGTTGTGAATAACAGCGAAGGCGTTGACTAGTCGGAGGCGGGCGGCAGGATGCATCATCAAAGAAGAAGCCTTAGTCATGCTCACTACGATGCTTCATTGGTCCCCTGCTCTCGCATGTTTAATGTTATCACAAGGCTGAGCTTTGTTGTCAATCACCCTTCAAGTTCCTCAAAAGCTATTTATGCAAGGTTTAATCAAATAAATATTTACGATTGGGACGCGTCGCAAGCTACATGCTATCTTCTTCGTCTTTTTCGTGAACCCATATCACCACGCAGAAACTACACAAACATTCTCATCCCGATCGCGACTCGAACGCAAACCATGGCATCCACATGGGATCTTCTGGATCCTGAGGAAGAGGCTGAGCTTCATAAGACTCGCCTCCTCAACGTGGAGGAGAAGCCTTTCAAGCGTCTCACCAAACGAATCAATACCATATCACAGCTCTTACTACCATTCGATCCTGCCGTAAATGGAGCCACTATATCCGATGATATCAAGTCCAAACTCAAGCAGCTTAAGGAGGACATGAACCTTGACTTCGATGCTTTTGGCAGCAGTATCACGCGCATGCAGTTCCTTCACAACGCAAATTCCCAAGAGCGTGAGCGCTACAGAGTCGACCAAGATCGTATCCTCGCCGATTGCCAATCGGTACGACAAAACAATATCCAACTTCGAGAGCAGCTCGAAGCCGCACAAGCCACCCTCGCACAGCGCAAACAGTTCGATGAGTTAGCAGAAAAGATCACATCGAACCGTCTTCTTCGACCGCGGGAAGATCAAATTGCCAACCTCGCGAAACTCGAGGAAGAGTGTCGAGAGCTAGAGCGAGAGAGCGAAACCTACAGCGAAACTTGGAGAGAACGGCGGGAACAATTCAACAGAATCATGGAAGAAGGTATGCTCTTGCGACGACAGATTCGCGATGAAAAGGAAGAGGTCGATCGTCGAGAGGGCATGAACGAGGATGCTGAGGATGATGCCGAAGTGGATAAGGTCGGCCAGACACCCAGAAACGAACCGAGCGGTAACGCGACACCTCATCCCGAAGGGGATAGCCAGATGAAGGCAGATGGGGACGCAGGTACGCCAAACCCAGAGGCTCTCAATGGAGGAAGAACACCAATGGGGGATACACCAGGTCCAGACACGCTGAAGCCACCTTCTGGTCATGATGAGTCTCGAGACCGGGGAGATAGTCAGGCCCCCAGTCGCGATGCTTCGCCTATGCCACCGCACGACGAGCGCAAGGCAGAATCGGGAGAGGACGTTGACATGGAGGATTCTGAGGCTAGTCGAGCCCATGATGATGGAGGAATGACACCCCAGGTGACAGTTGAGCCACCTGAAAGTAACGATGATAAAATGGAAGTAGACAATTAGGGCTTCCCACTTAGCAGTCTGTACTATCGACTATGTCTGAAGATACCCTCATGTTAATGAAGGTCCAGAAGCGTTTCCTTTTTTTTATTAATTATCTTTTAAGTGGTATCGTAAAATAGCCTTCTATTATTCTCTTTTATAATTCTATCAGGCATCGGCCTGGGTAGCTTTGGCTTTTACCAGCGCCTCCTTGGCCTGCACCACCTGGTCCTCCGGAGCGTTCAGTTCTTCGCTCACGGCGAGTTGCTCCTCCAGCTTCTCGACAGCGACGGCGATCTTTTGTCGTAGAGGTTCGAATACGGCCTTTGTCTGCTCTAGGGCAGTTTGCTAAATTGTATTAGATCGAGTTTCCTGGCTAACTCCCAGGGTAATGGCTTTCGGACTGACCTGCTGTTTGAGCATGAACGAAGCATTCTCATCGTCGTTTGCGCCGCTGTCAATCTTCTCCTTCAGAGCTTTGACCTTAGCTTCCTCCTCCTCAACCTCTTTATGGTATGAAGCCTCCTCTTTGAGAAGTCGGTTGACGGAGCCTGTAGCGATGGCGAGTTGAGAAGGCGGCGGCATGGTGGATTGGTTCGGGGATTATTAACGATCTACTAAAGGTTTGGCAAGTTGCGATCTTTTTATGTACAAGCCGGATTCCTAGGCAACGAAAAAGGAGCTTTTGTTATTTGGGTGCCTGCTCGGTGTGTGATGCCTGGAGAACAATCAGAGGAGCAAATGAGATCATATTGGACGTGGGGTTTTAATGGCGGGGCTTTTCGCATCTTCTTTCTACGCGCTTCACCGCGTTAAATGCAGCTTGGAAGGATTAGGCTATGGCATCACGGAGGTGCTGAGAAGAAGATAAAGGTTGAGATACAAGTGACCGTTCTTTTACTACTGTACCGTACTCAACTACTAATGCAACGTCCAACAGAACTCGTTCATAAAAGAAACTGCTGCATATCAACCTCTACCGTTTTCCCAAAGAGCTACGACCAATCCATCCATGTACCGCAAGCCGTGGTATCTCCCGAAACGCCGACAACACCATCTGGGCGACCCCTGAGTGACTGCCCTAGAATGCTGGAATTCAATAGTTTATATAACCTGACACGCCGCCCATCCAAGTTTTCGTTAAGATGCAATAAGCAAAAACACCCTTCCTGTCAAATTATGCTGAAACGGCAACTGCGGTTGAAGCAACCGCAGCACGTTCGGGCTCATTCGGGGCGTCGTTATCTTGAGACATCTCACCACCAGCTTCTCTCTCCGCCCAGGCTCCCCAGAGTCCACGCTTCGCCCTTATCCGGATGTCATCTCCGAGACCAGGACCCTGCTCGACCTTGATGGCGTCCTTGGTTGCAAGAACCAGACACTCAAAGAACATCTTAGTAGCGTCGGCCTTGGTGGTCTGTTGTCTAGGGCAGAGGTTCTGGAGGAGAACAGCTCTCTGAGTTCGCTTGCTGGGGCTGTCGGCAGCGTCATCACCAAATCGCTCTCGCAATTGGTGTACGACGTGTTTCGTGACTTGAGAAACAGGACCGCTCTCAGCGGGATGGACCAGAGCAACAGTTGTATCTTCGAAGCCAGGCATTATGGTTCCTGCCTCTTCGTCCTCCATCTCACCCTCGGCAGGGATTTCATGGCGGCTTTCCTCTGGAGGGATGCTCATTTCACCGAAAGCGCCCTCGAAACCGAGTCCAGTGTCTGAACCAACATCGAGCATACGTGGTGATTTAGAAGCGCCGTGGTCACTTTCGACGTCAGCAATACCACTGTCACGCTTGCGCTTGAGCTCGTTCATGCCACGAGCAGTGTCTAGTGTGAGCATATTACGAAGTTCTGGAGCCCAAGCTGAGCTTCGGCCTTCCCCCAGAATTGAAGACACAAACCCTCCACTCTTTTGCATATCCATTAAAGCCAGGAGAAAGGGGTCGCGAGGGAGGAATCCACCCTCCTTGATGATATTGTCACGGTTTGCTTGTTGTTGCTTGATGTGGTTACTTGAGAGGGCGATTTCTTCATCTGGTGTGAGTATCTTTTGTTTCTTGGCGCGCTGTGCTGGTCGTCGAGCAATCTGATCCTCCTCGTGTTCGGGTTCATAAAGGTCTGCCATCTGGTATCTCGAGTGATCCTGTTCTAGTTGTGCAGCGCGGTCTTCGTCGATGTCGGAAAGCGGCGACTCTGAAATGCGAGGAGGAGGGTAGGCTGCCATGTCAGGTACTTGGGAGACATCTTCTGGGTTGAAATCGATTGCCATCATATCGGGATCCTCGCCATCATGAATCTGAACACGCTCGTCGGGCAGGTCCAAAGTCATCGCTCGATCGTCATCCTTTTGGGGAACATCAAGCTCTGAGTCGTCAATCTCAGGACCAACCGTCGTGCGATCCTCCCTTCGGCCACCTTCAGGTTCAAGGCCTGTCCCTTCAAGGCCAAGGTCATCAAGACCAAAATCTAATTCCAGATCAATGTTTCCCAGCGGTGCAATCATGTCATCTTCCATTCCCATGCCTTCGTTAAGAAACTGGCTGTTATCGTAATCTTCTTGAAGATTGATGTCCCGCTGGCTCGCGCGTCCTTTGCGGCCAATTGGTGCAGCAGCCACATCATCCACTTGAGACAAAAGCCAGTTCGCGTCAGGTGGAGGAGGTAGTTCAAAATTATCGTATGGGGTGATTCTGTCAGGAAGGGTCAAGGCCTCCCGGTTGGGAATTTGTAGGTTGACGGCCATGTCGTTGTTACCAGAAGACCGAAATGCCTAGAGGAATTAGTATACGCGGTCATGCCACGCGTCATGGAAAGGCTCACCATTTTAATCTTCATCATAGCTTCATTGCAATCATCCAAAAGATAACGCGTCTTTCTTTGGTAGATTCGAACCACACCCAAAAGCAGCTGACTGCTTAGTCGCAGGGCCATCGGCGCCTGATTAGGCGTGATGATGGCCTCCACACTGTCTGTAACATTGGATTGGAGGATGTGATTCTTTGATAGCTTGCGCTCGAGGTTGGCAGAAAGCCAGACACGGGCGAGCGGCCCGCTCTTATTGAGCAAAGTCTCTGAGTAGAACATGGTGCACTCGCGTAATTACGCGGTAAGAAAGTAAGGAAAGGCAATTATCCACGCGACAAAAGGTTGAATCCAAATGGTGAGGGGTTCTTCCAAGTAAAGGTGGTAATGATGGTTAGTAGGAGAGCGAGGCTAAGTCAATGAACACCAAGACTGGGGGCGCGTCGGGTAAACAAGCTCTTGGTGGATGGATAGCTCTACGCGCAAAAGCAACGTCGCGCGTACCCCAAAAGTACGATGCAATGCGTAAAAGTCGCGAGAAATAACGGGAATGTTACAGCGACCAAAGTTCTGGCGATAGCGACGGTATCGGGAGTGCAGTAAAGGTGACAAGGCGTGTGCGCGGGCGGGATTATCGCGACGTAAGGCAGTCAAGGTATTTTATCAGAAGGGAAAATGGGACCTGGACCTTGAAGAGGGGGGATGCTCTGGTCGTTGCCCAACGGTAAATGGCGTGGCTGGGGGCTGGCCTGTGGCAGGAGCAGGCACCTATTGCGGTGTACGGAGACAGGTTTATCCGCAGAGCGAGGCGCTTTCATTGGCCAACTAGGATCATCGGCTAGCAAGGTCTCCCTACCAACACTACCAAATATTTGTGGACGGCTCGTGTAATTGAGCGCTTGGATCCTTCGACTTTTCTAAAACTAAGGTCATTTTCTTACATGAGGCAACTTTTTTTCCCTTGGGTCCTTTAGAACGATGAGAGTCTTAGGAAGTCTATAATGACCTTCTTCCTCTTCAAAGACATGAGCGCTGAACATGAAATGTGATCGCTTCTACCAATGTCCAAAGAATCAGTTACATGGATGTTATGAGATCCTAAACCTGTACATTCTATACTCGATCAATTATCAATGTGATATTCCTAGTACCTAGTAAACCAAACTTTCGGTCTTGACTGTTCCTCCAAATCAAGATTCCAACCCAGATAGTCCGTCATTGTGGCTTAACATGCAGCAAAAGCATCATTGGCTTGGCATTGCTAAGCTGGAATCATTTACCCCAAATACAGAGCCAATCTTGACTCGTCCCCCAAGCCAAATTTCGTCTTTCAGGTGATGCTACTGGCTGATAAGCTTCTAAAGTCGATATGCAAGCCCCTGGCAGCCTTGCCGAGCCTTGAAAGGTACTAGTTCCGACCCGCTCATCGAAGGACAAGACACCTGGACATCTTAGGACAACCTTAAGTTCCGTTTAGGTCTCCCAACACATCCTCACGTCTACTTTTGTTCTTGCTGGCCTCTTCCTCTTCTCGCTTTTCCGTTTGCCCATGACTGAATCTTTTCTTTGACGGGGCTGAAGCGAGCCGTTTCCTTTGGTTGAATTGGAATTGTCCAATTTTGTGATAACTAACTTTTCCGTGGCAACTTTACTCCATGTCCTGACGTTCCCTTTTCATACAATCCAACATCCACGGACCTTTTTCTCCTCTTCATGACTTTGCGCATTCGATCTTAAACTAACTCAAACACCCATGCGGTCGACGGAATTTGCTCTACAATTGTAATACAACCATCTGCGCGTTCTTCTGTCGATATGCAACTGCCATGGGGCGGCCGCGACGGTCCGGGAAATGACACCTTGCTACCGACATCCAATATCCCTTCCATCACCGGGCATGCTGGAGATGGCATTGATTCCAAAGATGGCGATCGTCCACAGCGCCCAAGTCGCCATGTCCGAACCACGTCTTCTGATGCACGGGTGAGTCTCAACATGCGCATCTACTCTAAAGTATTCGATTTACATAGACTCAACTAACAACTCCACCAGAACGTTGCCGATCATTTCTCCTATATGACCCCGAGCGAAGCCGCAGCGAATCTACGGACATCCCTCACCCTTGGCCTTACTCCTACCGAAGCTCTGACCAGACTCGGCGAATATGGTCCCAATGAAATTCCTCACGACCCTCCAGAGCCATTATGGCTACGATTCGTCAAGCAATTCCAGGAGCCCCTTATTTTGCTGCTTCTGGTTTCGGCCGGGACATCGCTCCTCTTGGGAAACATGGATGACGCTATCAGCATCACAGTCGCTGTGACAATTGTCGTGTCCGTCGGATTCATACAAGAGTACCGTTCCGAAAAGTCTATCGAGGCTCTTAACCACCTTGTGCCAAATCATGCCCATCTGGTCCGTGGTCAGAGCAAGACATCGCCGTTGGGGAAGACTCCTACCTGGCCTCCACGCACAGATGATGCTGATTCTGCCTTGACCCCCGGCTCTGTCACTCCAGTCAGCGATATTCTGGATGCGACCTCTTCCAAGGTCATGGCTTCTCAACTGGTTCCTGGCGATCTCGTTTTGTTTACAACCGGTGATCGCATTCCTGCCGACATCCGTGTTACCAAAGCTGCAGATTTGACGATCGATGCATCAAATCTCACTGGAGAGACGGAGCCTGTTAGAGTAACGGCTGAGGCACGGAGCCGTGGGTTTGGCTCATATGGTCTCGACAAATCCCAATTGCCACGGCCAAACTCTCTTGCTCCCTCTGAGCATGGAGATTCACACGGAGACGGTATTCATAATATTGCGTATATGGGAACATTGGTCAAGTCGGGTCATGGTCAGGGTATTGTCTTTGCGACTGGGGGTCATACACATTTTGGAACTATCGCTGTCAGTGTTTCTGGTACTGAGAGTCCAAGGTCACCGCTTCAGTTATCCATGGACGACCTCGGCTCGCAGCTCAGTAAAGCTTCATTTGTTGTAATTGGCCTCATCTCAGTTGTCGGCTGGCTCCAGGGGAAGAAGCTTCTTGAGATCTTCACTATTTCGATATCACTT